TCATTTTTTCAAAACTAAGTTCATGATTTCAAAACTAATACTGAAGCTCCTAAAAGCTAAGAGAAACTTTTATAATTATTTGACAGGCAAAGAATTATTACCCATGTTTTTATTTTGATTTTTAATTTTTTTGGCAGCTGGCCGGTATGAGTATCCAAACCCTTGATCTTGGTGTTATCAGCACCTCGCTCTACTCCACTGAGCTAACCCGCAGGCCCTTTATGACTCAGGATTTTAAAAACTGTTCTTGTCATAGGGCAGACCCATTTGACAAGGATATGTGTTCTCCAACACAACAAAAATTTGGAAAGTACCCTTGATAATGTAGATGGGCCTTACCCAATTAGTTGAAGGCTTGAAGGGCAAAAACCAAGGTTTAACCAGATTAGCTAGTCAGGACTCTGATTACCTGATTACCATTCTGAATTTTTTTTTTTTTTTTCATGGCAGCTGGCCGATAAGGGGATCTGAACCCTGGACCTTGGTGTTATCAGCACCATGCTCTACTCAACCGAGCTAATCAGACAGCCCACCATTCTGAATTTTTAAAAGAGGTTTACTTCTTAATACTTCAGCAAAAAGAATTATTCCTATCTTCCAATTTGCTCAAAAATGTATAGCAAAACAAAGTAGAGTCATGATGTACTGATTTATATGAATTAAATTGTCTTTACAGTATAGGTGACCCTCGAACAACACAGGTTTGAACTGTGCAGTTCCACTTATACATGGATTTATAAGAATATAGTACATAATACATATATAAAATATGTGTTGGGGCCAGCCCGGTGGCGCACTCGGTAGAGTGCGGCGCTTGGGAGTGCGGTGGCGCTCCCGCCAAGGGTTCAGATCCCATATAGAGACTGGTCCGCTCACTGGTTGAGCACGGTGTGGGCGCGACACCGAGGGTTGCGATCCCGTTACCGGTCACGAAAAAAGACAAAAAGGAAGAAAAATATATATATATATGTGTTAATCAACTGTTTATGTTATTGGTAAAGCCTCTGGTCAAAAGCAGGCCATTAATAGTTAAGTGTTTGGGGAGTCAAAAAGTTATACATAGGGCTGGCCCGTGGCTCACTCGGTAGAGTGCGGTGCTGATAACACCAAGGCCATGGGTTCGGATCCTATACAGGGATGGCCGGTTTGCTCACTGGCTGAGCGTGGTGCTGACGGCACCAAGCCAAGGGTTGAGATCCCCTTACCCCGGTCATCTTTTTAAAAAAAAAAAAAAAAAAAAAAGTTATACACAGATTCTTGACTGAACCAGGAAGTCAGTGCCCCTGACCCCCACATTGTCCAAGGGTCAGCTGTATATCTATTTCTTCCTGGATAGAGAAAACAGCCTAATGACTTTTATCAATATGGATACTTCTGTCTAAAAATTGGCATGTATGCATAAAAACAACCACCTCAGCAAAGCCATACCTCTGTTAAACAAATGATCATGGGTTTTTAAAAAAGCAAAGATCTTAGGCAAGGATTAAAGGCATGTATGGCCTCTAACGCAAAAATTACAAAGGCACAACCAAATGCAAAATAGTACTATAAATTGCTTTCTATGCTAATGGAGAAATACTATACAGAAGTTAACTCCTGCCATACCTTCTGTTACTTAAATGATTAATATTCATGCATTTATTAACAAAGCTAAAAATCACCTAAGAACATTTGTGTAACATTATTCATTGCTACATTATTTGCAATAGTAAAATATTGGGAAAAAAACAAATCTTCATCCATAGGAGACTGTGAAAAAATGATAGTACATGCATAGAGAGGAATATTATACAGTTGTTCAGAAAAGAACCCAATCGACACTGAGGGTTGCGATCCGTTGCTGGACACGAAAAAAGACAAAAAGGAAAAAAAAAGAACCCAAAACCTCTCAAATATGTTAACAGTAGAAAAAGAGCTCCAATATCCCTGAAAGTGAAAAGAACAAGGTGTAGAACAGTATAAATGGCATGCTATGCTTGTATTGCTTGTATTTACACAGGAAATTAACAGAATTCCAAAGAAACCAAAAGTGGTACACAGGGATGGGAGGTGTACAGGGAGGAAGAGGAACTGGGTAGATGCACAACAGCAGTGAGAACAACACTTTCACTGTATGTCTTTTCATTCTTTTAAACCTCAAACCATGTGACTAGATTATTTATTCAAAAAATAAATAATTCTAAATAATTTAGGCTATTTAATTTCCACTTACCTCTATTATAAAAAGAAAAAGCTACAAACTCAAGTCCCAACATGAAATCAGATGTTCTCAATGACTTTTAAATATTTCAAGCTCAATGTGCATACAAAAATGTTCCATTAAAATTACAAAAAAGGGGGCCGGCCCGTGGCTCACTCGGGAGAGTGCGGTGCTGATAACACCAAGGCCCCGGGTTCGGATCCCATATAGGGATGGCCGGTTCGCTCACTGGCTGGGCGTGGTGCTGACAGCATCAAGTCAAGGGTTAAGATCCCCTTACCGGTCATCTTTAAAAAAAAAAAAAAAAATTACAAAAAAGAAAAAAAAAAAGGAATTTCTGCTGGGCACTGTGACCATCATTACAGGGACAGATGACAGTGTTTCTTTCTGAAACAACTGTTCCACAGGCAGTACTTTTTTAGTGACTTTCCAATGAGCCAAAGGGTGGTCACAGCTTAGCACCTAGCCTACAAGGTATGTTCCAACAGTAACCTGGAGAAAGCTGACTCTGCTATTTGCTTTGTTCCACTATCAGTATTCAGGATAAGGAGACTTCTTAAAATCAACCCAGTCTGATTCCTCAGCAGGGACAGGCCTATGAGTTTTGATTCAGTTCTGACACAGAATGTCCTCCATTGCACAAATCATCAAGGACAAGTTCAAAATCCAATTCCCTGTGAATGGCCTAGAGGCAGATGGTATAAGAAGAAGAGCACTAATTTGCTGATCATACCAGTTCATTTCTATGGGTCTCCATCCTTACCGATGAAATGAATGGGTCTGGACCAAATTCTCTTGAAGGTTCCATTCAGGTCTAAAATACTGTAATCCTGTAAAAAGCCAGGTTAATTTATTAAGATCAGATGAAGGGTGGGAGATGCCTCTAGTCCAGAGCATATAGGAAAGCTCAAGTACACAATGGTTTGTTGATTGGGATGTAGATGTTCTGATACCTATTTTTGCTGTTTCACCTTCAACAAATAACTTGGTCCACCTGCTGTAAAGATTTTTCTCATACATAACTTCCGATGGCTGGCTCAGTTAGCTAGAGTGCAGTGTTATCATACCAAAGTCAAAGAGTCCAAATCTCAGTATGGGCCAGTCACCCAAAAAATTTTTAAAAATGAGTTACAATTAGGTAAAACTTTTTAAAGATTGGTAGAGCGAACGAGATTATTTAGGACTGTAAGTATTGAATGTGTTAGTTAAGAAAAGTTTTAGTTTGATCCATTATCCTTTTATTATCACCATCCAAGATTCATACTTGTACTAAAACCCTTTGAAGAACAGCCTTTCAGAGATTTACCTATGTTAATTCCCATATATGAAGGAGGGGTGAATACCTTCCTTAAGCAGCAAACTCTACTGAAAACTCCAAGCTCAGCAAAACATGCTCCACATTCTGATCAATAAAAGCCAAGTGATGTAGGGGGAAAAAACCCACAAATACTGCTGCATAATTTCGTCTATTAAAAAACAAAATGCATGCCTTCTTTAGGGCTGATTTCATATACTAATAATTGGCCAGAGCTTTATTAAAATACTAATGATCCACAACTTTATCTTAGACCTTTCTAAAATAGCTCTGAATCATATTCATCCTTGCAAGAATTCATTCTTTGGCACAAAAGCAGTGAGAAGCACAGCTCTGACAGACACTCTGCAGGGATCCAGGTTCATTGTCTGGCCCCTGCTTTCACCTGGCAGGAACTGGACACACTGCTGAGAAACCAGCTCATCTCATTAGCATGTCTTTATTCTACCAAAAAGAGAATGGCTCCGCTCCAATTCTAACACCTCACTCCAAGATCACCAAAATCCCCATCAGGTCTCAAGCCAAAGAGAAGACAGTAGCCATCAGTCCCCAGAAGACTTGAGAATGGCAATTAAAAATAAAGAGAGGATAGCTAGGTCATATGTACCAGCAATTCAAATTGGCTGGTGCTCAATCAACTGAATTACTTTCTCGTGATTCTCTCCCCTTAACTGTCAAAATCCTCCTCCACCTCCAGTGTTGACGCCACAACCCAGAGGCTGGAGACACTTATCTTTTTAAATGAAGGAATAATTCTGAAAACAAACATAATACTTCTACACATCTTAAATACCTCTGCCCTGTCCCAGAGCTATCCCCATTCCACAAACCAGGCTTGCCGCTACTCTGCCAAAGGGACAATCCAAGTGACTCTGATACTCAGATTCCCAAATATATTCCCAATATAAAACACTTTTTTCCCTTCCTTTTGCCTCTGGAAAAGCACCAGCACTGTAAACTTATGTTCGGCCTCCATCCTCCAGCAGGCAATGGAAGCTCTTCCATGAGAAGCCTAATTCTAACCTTTTCAGGGGCCTGGATGCGGCAGCCCAGGGACAGCACCTGGCACAGGTGCCTGTCACGGATGCCAAGACCGCCTCCTCTAAGTCCTCAGCCCCTGCGAGGCGAGCGGGCTCTGCGACCTCGCCTGCGACGCTGGCAGCCCCGCTCCCAGAAGCCGCAGTCCCCGCCGGACGCACGTCCCTGTAACAGGGCAGATTACAATGGAGGCTGCTCACGTCCTCGGTGGAGGGGCTCGGTGACCTCGGTGACCCCGCCAGAGCCCTAAAGCAGCCCCCTCCGCTAATTGGCCTGGGGCGGCGGGAGAACTCGGCCTCCTCGAAGACCTCCCACGTTCCAAGATCGCGTCGGGGCGACCGCGGCCACTGGGTCCCCGCGGACCCCCGCTCGGCAGCAACCCGACCCGGAGCCCCCACTTCTCTCCCTCCTGCGTCCCCCCAGCCCGCGGCCCAGCCCGGCCCTCACCGGACTTGGGCGGGTAGCGGTACACGGAATTGGACGGGATGTCCACCTCCTCCACGCCCGCGTGCTGCCGGCTCGTCAGGGCCCCCATGGCCGCAGCGGCCGCGGCGCCCGGCCCG